GCCGCTCTAAAAGATCTGAGGAAATTTTGAAATATAGATTAGATAATGGATTGATTTGCAGGCAGTTTCCTGTGAAAGAAACTAATGAACTTATCCGCGGAGAGGTAAGTGACTTCTTGTGCCAATTCTTTCATAATCTTTGCCTAGCAAGTGTACTCGTTTTTAATTATTGCTTCTTAGAATATACCATGGCGCGTGTCTATGCCAATTGATTTGTTGTTTGATTTTCAGGATGAAGATGGTAACAAGGTGATCAATGAGTATGTTCGCGAACGTAAGATTGGATCTGGTAGCTATGGTAAAGTGGTAAGTGTCAATCTCATTTACAATACTATCAAATCTTTTTAGTATATCCTCCAAAAGCATCCCGGGTTTTGGATTCCATAACCTTAATGTTTGGCATTACAACAGGTTTTATACCGGAGCACTGTAGATGGCCAGCATTACGCTATCAAGGTAAGTTCTTGTCTTCTTTGCCTCATTATCTCGTGAAACCTTTTCGTTTCTTTGTTTAGCTGATGTTATTCATTTGAACTATGTTCTTTCATTATAATGCAAATTATGCAAGTTAAAATGTTTAATTGATGACTTATAGGGGTTTAAAGCTCTCTGACATATTTTGATTTAATACTTGGGTTTCCAGGCGTTTCACAAGTCGCATTTACTAAGGCTAAGGGTTGCACCTTCAGAGACTGCTATGAGTGATGTTCTTCGTGAGGTATCATGCGCTTTCTGCAGTGTTTTTCCTTAACAGTAGTTGTATTGGTTTCATTTTACAGAAGTTGTGTTTACGCTCGTTTATCTCATTGCTTTCAGGTTATGATTATGAAAATTCTGGAGCATCCTAACATCGTTAATCTCATTGAGGTGATAGATGACCCCGAAGCTGATCATTTTTACATGGGTGCTTATTTTCCTCTTCTCGTTCCTGCCGTTTCAATATCTACTCTTTGTGGGATTTTTATCTTATAATACATGTCTTTCTGCTCTCTCTTAGTTCTCGAATATGTTGATGGAAAATGGGTGTATGACGGATCTGGACCGCCGGGTGCTCTCGGAGAGAAAACTGCTAGAAAGTATTTGCGGGATATAGTTGCTGGCCTGATGTAC